GTTCACGTGCATTTTTTAATTGCTTACGTCGTTTGAATGTTGTTTTGGCACGCGGCATTGTTTTAATTTTATATTATTTTTCTAATTCACTAGATAAAGGTACGATTTTTGAGTTAAGAACGCAATATTTTTATGACAAATTTTTTTTTATTTTGTAGTTTTTACTTCGCTCTTTTCGATGACAACCTTTGTTTTGTAAAATTTAATAAATTTATTATTGTCAAAATTCAAGTAAAGTCGGTTTGTCCTTTTGTAGAATCAACTACCCATAAAAATGATAAATCGAAAAACTGCCATTGTTACGTTATCCTAAGCAAGTTAATATCTCTTTTTTCAAAAATTAAACTGGCAATTATTATGTCAGTTCGAAAGAAAACTGTACCGAAAGTTACTATTAGCCGCAGTAATTTCGGATTTTCACAAAAATTTTTATCATATGCGCCCTAAATAATGTTTGATTTAATTAGTTTGTTGAACACCCTATCGTACCCCGGATAAAGTGGACGAGAATTATTACTTGCGAAGACCGTATTATAGCCTTATAATACAGTAATTTGATTCATAATAACTACTTTAATTCATATTTCACGACGTATATAATATTCTTTTACAATAATTTTGCAATAAACAATTATGTTTCGCAATACATTATTAAATTTGATTCTAAGATATGCGAACATTTCTAACCACTACCACTATAAACGTTGTATTTACAAACTATATTTATAACCTAAAGTATAATTAGAATATATAGTTCGAATAGCATTTTTTTTTTATTAGGCAAGCAAAACTAGTTGAAAACAAAATCTTGCAACTTTTTACTCACCAAGCTTAGGCCTTCCGACCTTTTAAAATCTTTACTTCTCATCTAGATCTTGAGACTTTTGTATTTTTGTAGTAGTTTACCTTAAGTTTTGTTTTTTAACCTGGGATACATTACGTATCACAAAAAATACGGCACGCACGTATGATCACGTGCATACTGATGTCAAATTACTACGGTAAACGCTGGGCTTAGCCGTTTGGCTTGCGGCTTGGATCAAACCGTTGCATCAATCCATCCTAGTACGTACATTCCCGATCCATAGGTGTATTCCTGTGCTTACCGTTACTTTATTAATCTCGAATGTATTTTACTACAGTAGCTAATTAAAATCCTAATTTTAGGCACTAATAAATCAAACGATCATTAAGATCAAATTACATATATATATTTAAACTTTTTTAAACAGTAGCTCTAGACTAACTCTAATACGTACTGAAAATAGAGCATTTCTGGGATAAAAAAATTGCCTTATCTGTTGGGTAAAAAAATGTTCTGCGAATTCATAAATTCGAACATATGATACGTATCCTAGTTTGATTTATTAGAATGTTGTCAGGCGCATGTTAGTCTATACGACCAATCATAAGTTAGTTGAATTTCATATGATCAGTCACGAAAACCAATTTCGGCAACAATAAAAAGGTGTTCTTATAACATCTTTTCTTTTATCGCGTTGAATTGATAAAATGTTTAGAAAGAAAAAATCAAAGAAAGCTCCTTGTGATATTCCTCGAGACTTAGAGGCACTTGGATATAAAATTGATGAAAAAAATCAACTTGTATCTATAGAAGGTAAAGACATTAGAATTAGAATTAATGCATTAAGCTACTTAATGATTCAACATTACATCCCATAGACGGCGAAATTTATAAATTTGAGGTAAAAGACAGGGCTTATAATGAACGTTTGTACGATATTATAATGGGTACTTTCCTTTAGTTACTATTTGAATTTTTATATGCTTTGTTGCGAAATTTGTTTAGTCTGAGCTCCTTATAAATTTACAGAACTTTTGGCCTCTTGGGTCGAAGAAAAGCTTCAAAAAGATCTTGGTTTTATAAAAAAGATACTACCTCTTGGCGCTACGGAAAATGATATACATACCAAAATTTTTCTGACGTATGCGGATCGAATCACATATTTGTTATTAGTAACTATAATAATAATAATATAAAAAATTTTAGTCCAGATTATGAAACCAATGACAAGATGATTATATTCATTCCTGGAACTGCTCATTCGTAAGTAAAAATTATCCAACTCCACAATTTATTAATAGGTTTTCTTTGTTATACTTGTTTGAATTTGTCTAAATTAAATTAAATTTCAGAGTCGGTATCTGGTCGCGAAGAGCTCTCATAGATATTTCTGTTATAGTATGTTCAAGAGTCCAGACTTTAAATTTTAAAATTTTCTTGTTTTATTAATCTATTTATTAATAATTCATAATAAAGGATGGTTCAATGATCAATTATGCAAAACGTGCCTTAGACTTGGGGTTTTCTGTCGTAATGTTGAATCCTAATGAAGTATTTTGGTATAAGGGAAAAGGTGTGGTATGTATTATATTATAAAAATTAGATTATTTTATTGAACTTAAATATTTAAATAGAATCGCATCATATTTATTATATAGCTTATTCTGCCAAAAACTACTGCACCGTTTGACACGATTCCAGGTAAGTTATGAGCTGTTCTCAATTACCGTAGAATCACGAAATAAAGTGTGTGCGTGTTATTCGAAATAAAAAATATCAGTTGATTTCGAAATAACGCGTACTTCAAATGATATGCCAGCAGATTTATATAGTAAATCAGGCTCGGAAATTTGCCTTTTATCTCAAATAACACTCGAAATGACGCGCAGATGTTCGTTATTTCGAGATTTACGGTAAATAATAATAATAATGGTAATTTATTTTGTGATTTTCATTGGTATCACTACTTTTAGGAAGTGAATCCCCGGAAGCTCACACTAGCTATGTATTCGAGAATATCGTAATGTATGCTTTAATTTGATTTTTAATTGTATTTTTCGTTAATAGCTTATGAATATTAAATCACCTATTCCACATAGACCATCTGCGGCACAAAAAATTTTCATCATTGCTAACAGTTATGGAGGTCATTGTGCCATTGATGTTATGCAAAACCACAGTAATTCTATTTATTTTATTTGTTCATTTTGTTTATATGGCATTGTTTCGATGGTCCTTATCCAAACATGTGTTTCGACCTTAGTTAATGAGTTATCTGAAAGGGTAAAAGCTATCGAGTTTACCGTGTCAGCTCATTCTATTGATTTTGTAAAGACAGATCGTATGAAAGTTTGGATACGTGAGGTATTAATTTTTAATCATTTTTTGTATTGTTTCGCGACGTTTAAATATCATATTTAAATATCTTACATTTTTTAGCACTGTCGTAATTGGCTCATGTCAGATCTGCCGATAGGAGAAGAAATAATTGACACAAGATTTGGATGTCACTCTTTTTCATCAGGTAAGCCCATTCAATAATATTATTGGTCGGTTTCACTGGTTTCGACAATATCATTTTATATTATTTAGGATCCGAACTTATCGAATATATAACGTATGCGGTGATTGATTTGGTTTTTAAATTTATTGAAAATAAATTGATTAACCCTGAGAATTTTCAAGACGACACATGCGACACAGATGATGATCTCCTTATTAGTGAAAGCCAGCACATATTTGATACACTTGTCAGCAATGTACAAGGTACTAAATATGATTTTGACGATAACGAAAATGGTCGTATTGTGGAGGAGACAGATGGATCTGCATGGCTTAGTAATTAGTGAATTTAGAATGCGCTATTTTGAATAAAACTGTTTTTGTGCATTTTTAAATACTTTTAAAAATGAATTCTGTTTGTAATAAGTTTTCAATATAATTAATATATCAAATGCGTTTTAAACACTTTTATTAATAACAATCGCATATATAAACTACATAAAACATATAAATGAAAAGTCATAAATTCAAAACTTACTTATTACAATTGCAATCATCAAAAATGACCCAAAAATTTCATAAAAATGTTCAAAAAGAAGCTATTTACAGAGAGAAAGAGAGAGAAAAAAAAGAAAAACGAATACATTTCAAATGCATTTTATAAACATCTTGAAATTGTTATCAAAAAATATTGTCACTAATAAAATTTACAGATGATATAATTGAATGAAATATATCTTGAGGTTTGATTATTCAATCATTCAATGTTGAACAACTGTTAATGGTAAAATAATGCTTCATTCTCTAAACAGGTAAAATTGCAAAAACATTTAATAACGTATGTTATATGCTTATGGTTTACAGTGTTGGCTTATGACCACTTAAAGCCTAAATATGAATGCCGCCAAGGGAAACCTGTCATTGGGTTCAAGGTTTATAATTTACCAGATGCAATTCCTTAAATTTGAAACCCTGATGACAGGTTTTCCCTTGGCGGCACTATAACTAGTGTTGGCAAATGGAACATTTTTTGCGTGAAATTGTGCAAATGAAGAATTTTTTCTGACGTATAAAGCTTTTTTTTTTTTATTTTATATTATAGACTGAAAAGTTAAATACATGTTTATAATAAGTTAGTAAGGTTTAATATTAAAAACACTCAACGGAACAATAGAAAAATGGACTAGAGCAGGTGAAATTTTCCAAAATGCCAACCCTATTATGACTCGTAAAATTACTATTACGTCATAACTATTTTGGTCACGTAAAGTTGGATATGACCTATAATGGCCAACACTGCATATGATTAACTAAAAAATATAAAATATAACTATGAAGCTCACCAACAAGATTATTGATACAGATCTTGTCGAAATCCAACAGGAGGATTCTCATCTTTACCATCTTCTAAAGTATAGGCATTCGCTTCAACATTACCAGCAACAGCAACTCTATTTTCTTTGAAACTCTTAATTGCTTCTTCAGCATTGCCAGAAACATCATCGTCCTCAGCTAACCATATAGTTTTTTTAACATTAGCTTTAACAGCAACATCATCATCTTTTATGCTATCAGGATTGCTAAAGATTTCTGGAGGTGAAGCAGAAACCAACACCGATAAATCTTGTGCAGCCTTTTCCAATAATTGTTGGATCTTTACAATTCTTCTAATATCAGCAACAGTCAAATCACTTTCTAGTTCTAGGTCAGAATTTTGATCAAGATTAGGGTCTTTAATTCTATTACCACCTCCTAGCCCATATTTTGCCCGAATATCGTCAATTGTAGTTTTTAGGCACCAATAATCTTTATCGACCTCATAAACTGTTGGTGCTGCATTATAGTTTTTAGACGAGACCAATTTTGTAAATGGGGAAGCACTAAACCTCAGGTTGTTGAGGGACGAAAGACGAAACCCCCTGGAGAAAAGTGAAACCTCTGGCGAAAGACGAAATCCCCCGCGGAAGACGGAAAGCGAAACCTCAGGAGAAAGGTAAAACTTCCGAAGAAAGGTTAAACTTCTAGGGGAAGACATACTTCCGAAGCTCTAGGTCTGAATATATAAGATATATAAAATGAATGAGAAATGACAGAGAAGAGAATAACGCGTATCTTTTTTAATGATTACATTACATATATATTAAGTTTTCGGAATAGATCTTGGGTTTTTCCCAAAACTAGTACTAACAGGTTTCCGTTATGTAACAAACACACATATAGTAATTAGTCACAAATATGTGTGGGAAAATAAACCTGAACATTGAAATTTTCTCAGCCTTGCTTCATGTAAATGACGTTTATGTTACTTGTGATTTTGTTTATATAAAGATGACTAAAAAAATAAGGTTCGTAATACTAAAATTCCAGTTGTAATAGCAGTTAATTCGGAAGATTAAAAGGGAATATAAGGGGTCAAAATGTATTTAATATTTCCTAATGCAAAATTATATTGAACATTGTCCCTTACGCCGTCTTCTTATCATAGCGATAGCAGAGTGTGTCCTAACATATAAAATAGCACGAGTGATATTACGACAACCGACATAATCAAATTCGACCATATATGTCTATATAAAATAATAATGAGAATTTTTTATCGAATTTGGTTTGTTTTCGTGATATCATTGTGATAATAGTTCAGCCACAGATCATCCGTGGCGGGCCGATTCGCCTGCCGGATGGTGTAAGGATCATTGATACGTCATTTTACTGGCACTCAAATGTTTATTGTATTGCATATTTTCGCAGACACATTTTTGTACATATCAATATTACAAATTAAAATGAAAATAATAATAATTACAACATAAATAATATGAACATACTGTAATAGAATTTATTTAATATCGATCCAACCAGAATCACTTTTCGAGATTGTTCTATTATTAACGTTAATCTGAGAGTAAACAATATTAGTTCGCAGTTTAACCTTTCGAGCTTTCAAACAATATTTAATCAACATATTAAAATGACTATTCGTAAACCCTGTAGAATCCAAATCAAGAATTTCCAGATTTTGAAAAGTCATTCTTGAACATCCTTCTTCGAGCAAAGTCTTATTTTTACATTGGTCGATTTCTAAATCCTTTTGCACACCAAACCAACCATCAAAATCTGCAACATCCACCCCGTGTAAAGTTATTTCCCTTAACTTCGGACAAAACTTTGGGGTTAATTTATGAATTGGGTCAACTTCTGACCTACGCCATCTCAATTCAAATATTTCTAGACAATTAAGTACTGAAAGTAGTACATCGACTCCTTCAGCACTGATTGCGTAAGGATTGACCAATCTAAAAGAAACCATAAATGGATGATTTACAGCCAAGGACCGTAAAGAAGAATTGCTAATCGTGATATAATGTTCAATAAGCATCGATCGTTCTCTGCACCGTGGGTAAATATCTAATTTTGGCGAAAGGTCTAAGTAACGAATAAACGCTCTATCCTGTTGAATTAACTTATCTCCATTGGAATCGTATTGATGTTGAATTTTTGTGTCATCTTCAACCAATTCATCACAGGAAATCCATGCCAAACCCTCCGTAATCACTAGATCTACATCACCAATCATTATTTGGTTCATTCTCAAGTCATCTAATTTTCGTAAACATTTTAACATTTCTGCGATCGCTTTTGCTGAAATTATCCCTTTGTTGATTACGCTGAAATGTAGTTGACATAAATTTTTCAAGAGTGAAATCATTATTAAAGTCATATTTGACAACTCTAAATCCAACAGCTTGAGCGAAACAAGCTGATTAGTATGTGATAGAATGTCTTGAAGAGATGCATTATCTAAATTGGTACCATTCAAATCTAATTGTGTTAAATTCTTGCAAGATGCAATAGCTATCGCAGTTTCACGGTTTAGATTTTGTTTCCCAAATGAAAGATATTTGAGTGTTTGAAATGAACCTTGAAGAACTATTTGAATAGATTTATTACTAATTTGCCATTGTGGTGATGATGATCTTGTCGTCGGCCACAGTCGGTATAAACCCGGACGTCCCATCTTAGTGAATGTAGGGCATTTTTTATAAAATTGGGATTTAATCCATTCATCAGCAGCCTCCCAAGTATCAAATCTAGGTTCTACATTCAAATGAATGCCTTGAAAATCACAATGAGTTTCAGCTAATTTTTCTAATGCAGAAGAAGATATCAACCGACATCCGCTTATATCTAACCATCGATTTTGTAATTTGGATTTCCATCTCGTTCGTAAGATCGTAAACAAGTGCTGATTTGTAAGAGTTTCACCGAATTGTGACAAGTCGAGATGTTGCCAAAACTCATTGTTATTATAAATTATTAATTGAAATCGCAAACAAACTTGGCAAAGTTGACATTTACTAAAAAGTGATAGGCATTGACATATCGCAACTATAACTTCTGTCGGAAGCGTGTCAAGTCTTAAACCTTCAGACTCACTCATCTTTTATTAATCAAAATTTTGTGATCGAATCGTATAAATATTTATTTCATCTGTTCATCTGGTCACATGAAGGTAATGATCTGCATTACAACTCATACAGGAAGATCCCCAAAATTCCTGGTCGGAATACATCGGAATCCTGGTCGGCAGGGCCAGAAATGATCGATTTTGCCCAAATTCACTAAGAATTTTACTAATGAAATCGTGGCTATTTATTAAGTGAAAAGTGCCCAGCTGATAATTTTGCTATAGAACCTACTAACCACTAGGGCTAAATGCTCACCTAAATCCGACCAGGAATTTTGGGGATTGCTCTGTAAAAATCCTGCATTACCGCCACTCATCGAGTTTCTTGATTTTATTGGCTTTTCCCTCTTAATCACTTAAAGGTCTGTTAGATACCTACCATTTGAATATGGATTATGTTTCATAAATTCATCGTCTCTAATATTACGATTAAGCGATACATTAATTTATTATAATTATGCCATTTTTAAACGTTTTCCGGTAATTGCAAATTACTTGTCTCTAGTTTATAGAAATATCAATTTGCTTTCATTCTAAATACATCGTAATTTAATTATACGATAATCCAACTTTTCATACTAAAGTCTTTAGCAGTTAGTGATCTATAACTGTTGATCTTCGAAATGGATGATTAGACGTTGGGAGTAGAGTTGTAAGGTTGTAAGGTTGTAACTTATATACTAGTGTTTCGATCCGTAATCCGATCAATTCGGATGGATCCGATAATTCAACTCATACAGGGAGGTCCCCAAAATTCCGGGTCGGTGCGTCGGAAACCTGGTCGGATGGACCGGAATCGATCAATTACTAAGAATTTTACTATTGAAACAATAGTCGTCCAGCTGATAATTTTACTATCCCTTAAACCGTAAGCTGATCCAGGCGAGTTTGTCTGGTTCAGCAATTCTTACCAACTTTCTTTCTAACTTATCTTTTTCTAAAAAATCTCCGGTTACTTCTAAACAAACTACTATCTCTCGGAACCAGAAAATAATTACTATTTAGCAATTCTGTTTTCTGTACTCATAAATTATGAAAAAAAGGTTGAAGTTCATTCAGAAATTCGGGGTCAATTAACGGACAAAAATTTATCCAATAATCGCACATATTTACCCCGTTAGTCATGTATTTAAATGATCTAATCAAGTTATGGATGAATTTGTCAGATATTGGCATCTCGAGTGATGTATGTACATGACTTTTGTAAGGGATATTTCACTAAACTAAAGAGAAAATAAAGGTAGGACGCCATTCACAATGGTCAAAAGTAATATCAGCTAAAAGCTCTATACAAGTAGTATGCCCAGTATTAATCTTATTGAAATTGACATAATAATTTATGTAAATTGTTCTAGCAAAGACCATTCTAATCAAAAATTTGCAGGCAAATTTGCCTGCAAAATGGTTTAAGAGATAGCTCCTAACACTAACCCTAACCCAGACCCTAACACCAATGCATTCTGGCCATTATGACCCAGAAATTTGGGGATCCCCCTGTAAAAAATTGATAATTCGATAATTCGAATTAAATATGAATATCCATATTTGTAAATTTTTAATGGATGTGTTGTACCCCAGATGCGAATTTGCCCAATTGTTAATCGGGATGGCCCAGATAATAATTTGATTTTGGGCTATCGATTTTGCCCTATATACAAATTATACTAAAGTCTACTAATGTTATACATATTAATAAATAGATCGACCAATCAAAAATAATAAATCACATAGCAATATAAAATAAAACTTCAATAAACTTCTCGGGCGATTATGACACAGTATGCACGTGATTTATGTGATCAACATTAAAAATCAAAGTTTTTTTTAAATTCGAATGAAGATATCTCGACACCATCCAAGCGAATTCGATGAATTCTTTTTTATTTAATTCTACATACTTGTAAAATTAAAAT